AAATATCAGACTCACAAGATCCTTTCATAAAATAAAAACGGATTTAAAGAAAGTAAAAGAGGCTCTGCTGTATATCTACTCACCACCTCAGAGTAGAGTCCAACTCACAGTGACCCCAGAGAGCGTTTCTGAGGCTGCAAAGTGTTATGGGAACACATAGCCTCATCTTGCTCCCATGAAGCAGCTGGTGGATTTGAACTGCCAACTCCGTGATTAGCAATCCAATGCTTACACAACACTACAACTAGAGGGCCTTACTTCACACCCATATGTAACATGACCAATTCGTTAGTGTCTTCATTTTAACATAGAATCGTTTAAGGCTTTTACTGCTGACTTCTGAAGGTAAGGTTCAACATCCTGTTAGGAAAACAACTGCGCTGTAATAGAATTTTGGCATTAACATTCAATAGCAATTCATCCACACGGCTGCCCCACGTGGCAAGGGGAAAACACTAAAGCGCTCATTTGACTCACTATGTGAAATAGAACACCTGGTTCCTCTTTCAAACTACATTTTTTAAAGGGGAGGAGAAGGCACGTGAAATGGAATCTGAAAGATTAAACTGGAGGAAGTAAATGGTGAAAAAAAAATTTTTTTAATTTTTGTAACCAGGACCATGACAAATGAGAACCAAAGAGAAACTGTGTGGGGGTGCGTGAACACTTTCCTCTGGGATGACAGAGTCCTGGCTTCCTAGGTGAGCATTAGCAGCAGCATCTCGGCTCACACTCACTCCCAACTCACAGCGACCCCCGGGCCGGCAGAGCTGCCCTGTGGGTTTCCAACACTGTCACTCTTTACGGGAATAGAAAGCCTCCTTTTCTGCCCACAGAACTGGCTGGTAGTTTCAAACTGCTGACTTTGTGGTTAACAGCCCACCTCAGAAGCACTTCGCCACATATCATCTCTGCAGTCAACCAAAAACATACCTATTCATGCTTAAGTAATCAACAGAGCATTTAAACTTAACTGAACAATTTTCCATCACCGTCTATGTACAAGAATATGCAAGGACGTACATCCGAGTAAGGAAGTATTGATTGTTCAAAGTTAGGAAGCCACAGACTCGTGTCAGCCAGGCTATCACTCTAAAGAATTTCTGGAACTTCTTTTTGGAGTATATCCAGTCCATGTACAAGCCTCTTAAGACCTTAGTTACGTAAGAGCAATTAGTTCTTACGTCATAGCCCTGCTGGATCCTTGCCCTCAGGAAGGGAACACAGAGGAGACAGGTGCTTTAGCAAATTGTGGTGAAGAAATCAGAGGGTGCCCACCTACTAGGCAAAATAGCATCTGGGGTCTTAAAGGTTTGTCTCCACACAACCAGCCATCTAAGTGGGATGTCAACTAAGTCCACATGGAAGAAGCACACCCCATCATCAGCCACCGAAGGATTGTTAAGCATATAACTCGAAGTGGAAGGAGGGATTAGTATCAGAGCCTGAAGTGTTAGAATCTGGTTTACAGAAGGCTGACAGTGGGAGCCCAAGATCCATATATGGAACTCCATAGGAAATAACTCTGGTGAACGCCTTCTATCCCCAATTGAAGAACAGGAGGAAAGTGGTTACTAAACAGAGTGCATTCGAACAGTTGAGTATAGAAGATCAAAGGCATAAAGCGGACTTGAACAGTTAGCACTTTGTCAGCAGATCCCCGCCCCTATGATGCAGGCTGGACCTGATCTGGTTTTCCAAATTTTCTCTATCTTTGGTTTGTATTATTTTGTTTGGTTTCTATTTGTACATATTAGGGTGTATTTCAGAGGTGTTAGGTCATTGGGGTCATCCTCTTGAAGTTGTATTATATGTTTTTTCATTTTTGGGTATATGAAACCCAGGATTAATGAACCTACAGAAATAGCAAGTAGAATAAGGGATTCAGGGGGGAAGTGGGTACAGTGATGGTAGCAAGGCAAAGGGGAGACGATGTCAAGGAGTCCATGTAGAAAAGGGATGTTTGGAAACTGTTTGTGGTAGCAAAGGTACAATTCAGCTGGACGTGACTGAACTGTAGAATGATAATTGTATCCATTCCCAATTCATAAGATTTTATTTTTTTAAAAAGACCTTAAAGTCACATGTCATAAAAACAAACAAAAATAAGTTTCCAGACTTTTTGAGTGCTCTGTCTCATCATACTCCATGAGTGACTTCCCCCACATGGCCCACCACCTGTACTATTTATGGTCAGTTTTAATCATCAGATGTGATCTAGTTATAAATTACTTAGCTGTAATTGTTGTTAGTTTACATGAACACTAACATAAGAAGAAGCCCTGGTAGTGTAGAGTGTTTAGCATTGGGCTGCTAACCACAGAGGAAGCAGTTCAAATCCATCAGCAGCTCCACAGTAAAAAGATGAGGCCTCTGTGGCAATCTATCGACCCAGAAACCCTGAAGCTGTTCGACTGTGTCCTCTGGGGTTGCGAAGAGTCGCAACCGACTCACTGGCAGTGGAATCCATACCTTCAGTCCCTTCTGTACTTTGGAGGCACACTCTATTACGGGTAGGCACACATTGGAGTCCTGGAGGCACTATGGCTTAGGCCTTGGGCTGCTAACGACCAGGTTAGTGGTTCAAATCCACCAGCCATTCCGTGGGAGAAAGATGAGGTTGTAAAGATTTAGTCTCAGAAACCCTAAGGAGCATCTTCTATTCTGTCCGATTGGGTCACTGTGAGTCACAACCAACGCTCCGGCATTGGGTTTGGTGTTAGCTGACACGATTGTTTTGTTCAATCTTTCCACATTGAATCACAGCATCAGTAGTTACAACATTAGGAACTGAGCAGAAACCTTTTTTGATGTTTCCGTTTCATTTCTACTTCACTCTCAAAATAAAGAAGTTATTGATACAGGTTCATAAATATTAATCACCACAATACTGACTAAAGCACCACAAAGTCTGCCAAAAGCAGCATCTCTAAAGCATCCACGGCGAGGAAAATGGCAGTGCCCGCGAAGCCACACGACTCAGAGGGGCACTGTGATCGGGTAATAATGACAGATCTGATTGAGCACATTCTCCCAAACCCAAAACTCACAGCCACTCAGTCCATGCTGACTCATAGCAACCCTCTGTGGGTTTCCAAGACGGTAACTGTTTTCTGGGAGAAGGAAACCCTGTCTTTGTCCCAAGGAGCTCCTGGTGGTTTCAAACTGCTGACCATGAAGACTGCAGCTCCATGAATAATCACTACATCCCCAGGGCTGTTTGACTAGGCACATTAGAAGGTTCAAAAAGTAAACTGGCGTAGTGAGTCTATTGACCTTGTGAGTTTATTGACACATGTAAGCTGGGTTTAAGAAAAAAGGAGTTTGTTGTTTTAACCAATGACAGGGCTATTTTTATTTTTAGAAGTGACTTTCTGCTCAAACACTGCATAAAAATGTACAGTCCTTTTGGTGTCTCCCCCTCTGACGGTGTCCCCCAGCAAACACCCCCTCTCCTACCCAGGATGCCACTGCGCCTCAGTGTTAACCATTTCTGGTTGTTTCCTAGTCAACACCACCCTCAACAAGTATCCCCCATTGAAAGACGCTGAAACAGTCACCTCAAACCAGAAAAGAGAAAAATTCTAGAAAAGTTTGGAGGAATAACATGACACACTCCCAATATGAATGCTATGACTGAACATTTGTCTGTGAATGGGATCAAGGAGTCCTGATGGGTTAGCGGTTATGCATTGAGCTACTAACTGCAAGCTCTGCAGTTCAAAACCACCAGCTGCTCCTTGGGAGAAAGACGGGATTTTTACTCACATAAAGAGTTACAGTCTTGGAAACCCACAGGGGCAGTTCTACTCTGTCTTATAGGGTCGCTATGGGTCAATTGTAGTGAGTGTGTTTGTTTGGTTTTTTTATTTGTTTGGGTTTTTTTTTTGGGGGGGGGTGGGGAGAGGTTGGTGGCTTTGTCAGGTAAACATTGGACTGGAAACCATATGTACAGCAGGGGTGGACAACGTCCAGCCTGGGAAATCATCAACACCAGCTGACATCCACACCTCACTAAAAAGAAACAGTTCCACATTAGGGGTGAGTTAATAAAACGTTTGACCAATGAGGCCCACGAATGATGCTCTAGATATCCCAATGGCCCTTGGCAGAACACAGGCCTCCACCCTGCTATCTAGGTTCACTACGATGGAGAATCAACTCCATGACAAGTGGTTGCTTTGGGCTTTTGGTGAAGGGGATACTTTCAATTTGGCTGATTTGATTTTGATATCTCCTTTTCAAAATGTTGCACCTGTTCATTTTCGTCCATCTGTTTCCCTCCCTTGCCTTTATTGGTGTTTTTCCTGATTAAGGTTCATAAACATTCATAAAATACTGGATATAAACACCGGGAATGGCATTCCCCACTGGGAGAGAAACTGTAATTGGCAACTTTAGCACGAATTCTGTTCTCTCCGTGCCTCGTGCCTCCTTCAACTAAATGATAAGCATGTATCCAGTTCTAAATGACAAGGCGCAGGAAGCACATTTCCGGGTGATGTAGTGGGTTACACATTGGACTGTTAACGTCAAAGTCAGCGGTTCGAAACCACCAGCCACTCCACAGTTGACACAAGGAGGCTTTCTACTTCTGTAAAGGGTTACACGCACAGGGACAGCTCTGCCCTATCCTATAGGGTACTAGGAGTCGACTCCACAGCATGGCAGGTGTGAGTTAACGACAAGGTGCTGTGCGAGGCAGGACGGTCTGCGGGTGAAAAGTAGTTCTAACCTGAGAGTTTGTTTCACTGACTTCTAACTCCCTGACACACAGACAACCCGTGACAGGCCAGAGACATGCAAAGGAACTGTGTGGTCCAGCAGGCTTAGCATTGGTCTGCTCACAAGAACAGTGGTTCTACCGGCTCGACCGGTTACCAATGGGTTTGGTGTGTGTTGCCCGGATGGGGGGTAACGAGAGGGGAGGGGGCATCATCCTACACTTTCTCTCATTAATTTTTCCTTAGTGCCGATCTTCAAAGGCCGGTACTACTCACACTTCAAGGCACTGAAAGCCAGTTCATAGGCTGTGCGCTGGGAGGCTTCATCCTCCGACTCTGCGGAGGACGGCAGGGGCTCATGGCCATACTTGATTAACACCTTCTCGGGGGGCCTTTCGATGCGAATACCCTGAAAAATGTTCGCCGCCGTGACATAAATGGAGTCCGGGTAGCCAGGTTTTTCGACGGAACTTGGGCAGGTGTTCTCTCTGGGAGACAGCTCCAGGGCAGCGAGCTGGGAGATTTCCTGGGCACTTGCTAGGTTCGAGAACTCCAGTTCACCTGCGGAGGTAAACATGGTCACCCCTTGCTTGGCAAGCCAGTCACTTCAGCTCGAATGAAAGCTCCGATGTTCCAGGGAATGGTTTTCCTTGCTCCTTAAGCATGGTCCCTGCAGGAAGAAAAGGTGACCCCAGTAAATCGCACGGTTTCAGCAGCATCACCGGGGCCGTCACGCGCAGAAAACCAACCCGCAGCGCATCGGTTTCCAAGGCTGTCCATCTCGACCCGAGCGGGAAGCAACCCCCTTTCTCCCGCGAAGCGGCTGGTGGTCTCGAACAGCCGACCTGGCGGTTAGCACCTCAACCAGTAGCTAGGGGCCCCTTGCTAGACTGGGAGGCGGGGGCGTTCATGGGCGGACCCCAGCACCCCAAATTTGGAGCAAGACTCGCCCCAAGGCTACTCCACAAATCCCAAAAAGAAAACAAGGGTGACTCGAGGAAGAGAGGCGGCTCCCGCAACGGG